GCGTAAGCTGCATTAGCAATTAAAAATTATGAAATTTCAAATCACTAAGATATAACAATACTTCATTCCTTTAATTTTTTTTTTTTCAAATTCATTAACTGAAGTTCCCCCCTTATATCTAATAATTATGTTTTTTGAAGATTGGCAAATTACACACGAAACTCATAGAAATAATTCTAATACTTCAATGTTGTTCTTAATATTCAATAAACATTGTTATAAATTGCATTTACGCATCTAGCCCTTATTTTTAAAGTCTAAATGTTTCTTGTGTCTTCCAGATTAAAAAAAAAAAAAAAATAAGGATCCATTCAAAGAAAAAAAAATTCATAGTTTGACATGAAAGAAATATTTGTAAACAATTTATAGTTTAAACTTAAATCATATATTAGTTAATTTACATACCAGGGCATGGATAAAACATCGATTGGAATCCCTTTTTATTTTACAATTCATCATCTAATTTTCATTAAGCAAATTTTAATCTATATTTAAATCGCTATAAATGAGTAACCACTTGCTATTTATTTATACTGCAGATTTATAACAAATTTTCATTAGTTTTGATGCACAAAATTCTATTAAAAGATCGACAGAAAATCTGGAAGGTTAAGACAATTTAAGAACTCCTGAGCTAGTAAGTATGGCAATAAGCAAATTTCATCTTTTTAACAAAGAAACACACTGAGCAATAACATAGACCACAGAAAACATTTAACATATACAATTCCCTGACCTGAACGGCTCTGAAAACAGATTCCCTTAATAATTCATACTGAATTTTGCAATTTTTCATGTAATGAATTGAGTTCTTTTAGGAGGACTTAAATATATTTCAGTCATAAACATTCAAATGAAAACAACTGAATTTTTCTCAGTCCCTTGTACTATTTATTTTCCATCTTCAGTTTTTCTGCACAACTAATAATTCTGGACTTTTACTGTCATAAAACTCCAAACTCTGGAAAAGTATTATTAGACTAACACACTACATTGAACTAATGATATAACGAACAAGTGCATCAAAAGATTACACTAAACATCTGTTCCCATCTCAACATCCTTTCTATTGAGACAAAAACAGATGTCAAGCCTAAATATTCAGTATTTTGCTTCAACCTAAAATTTGAATTCAAATTCAGTCCTTGTGCCTTATTTCTCAATATTCACGAAGCAAACTGAAAGCTATAAGCAAACACTTGTATCGGTGAGAGGATTCAGGCGATTCACACCGATTCAGCAGAGTAGTTTCTTAAAATATTTAAAGTTCACCAAAGCAACTGTTCAAATTTGAATTGTAATATTAATTCGGACAATTTATTGCAAGTTGCTGTTGTTTAAAATTGATAAATTTTATACGACTTTGTGGATAAAAGTGGAATGAAACACAGTCTATGCAATGCAGCTATAGCTGAGACTTTTAAAATATTGCTTTATTTTTGCTATGATTATTATTATACTGCATATTTCCTACTATTGTTATATTTTAATGTGAAAGGTTCAAATGTATGAAAAATACTGCAACACCTATCACATAAATACATAAGCAATTTTTTCTTTTCTACTGAAAGCAGTCATTACTGCTGCAAACCCATTGTTAAATTACTTGAATCTCATTACTGACAGAACACTTTTTCAAACAAGAGGCACAAAAAAAGTTAAGTAGAAATTTCAATATCAGCTGTAATTCCCTTTTTATTCAAATTTCTAATGCTACCTTTAATCCATATACAGTCAATTCCATTTATTAAGCTGGCAAAGAAAATTAACACTGAATCACTAGGCCTGAAAACAATTATCTCCCATTTTTATTAAATTTCATTATTCAAAAGCAAATACAAGCTTTATGATGTAATTAAATGAATCATATTGCTACTGAATGCAAACATAATGAATTGTGAAATCATTGTCAAAAATAACATTCAAATATCTCCAGTTATTTATAAATCACCTCGACAAAAATTTGCATCTATGAAAGTGAATACACTCCCTGAAAATAGAAGCATCAAACAATTTGATATATTAAAAACTTTCAGTACATTCCTAATGAATTTTTTTGCAGTCAGTCCATGGAGACTATTTTCAGCAAATTACCACTCACATTATTCCTGAAGACGATTATTACAATAGGAAACTTAATACTCATTGGATTTTACATACTTTAACTGCATTTTCTTGTAATAAACTCATAGTTACAAAACAATGTTCTTAATTTTCATTGTACATTTTCCCATTTTATGCCAGATAACGACTTCACAATCATTAATTTGTTAAAACAGAGTTTTACTGCAGAATTTGTATGTGCCCTTAGTTTTTTCCCCCAATCTTTTGAAATGATACTGAGATAAGACAACTATAACATACAGGAAAGCACAATTTTTATGTACATATTAGTTCATGTAAAATACAACAAGCAAGGATATTTTACAAAAATTTCACTTCAAAAGTCCATCATAAAATACATAAAGACAAAATAATTTGTTCATTCTTATCACTGACAAACAAAAGAGTTTGTAATTTTCATATTTGGTGGTTGTAAGAAAAACACTAATTAATCAAACTTGTTTTAATAAGTATACACACATTACAAGACAAGGAATGTACAGAAATTTTCAAAAGATCTAATAAAAAGTGTTTTCAAGCGGAATCAGGAAAAACTGTAGAATTTTTTTCAGAGTCCAGTGTCAATTCTTTTTCAATATCCACATGGCGAAAAAATTTAAATTCTTCTCTGGCAGCATAATGACTAGATGAAAAGTCAAACATAAGGCCAAGAACAACATTTAAAGCAGACATATCATAACGATGGCAGCCAGAATAACGATAGAGAGGTTTTTTATCAAACCTGCAACCAGAATTTTGGGCACCAATCGGTGCAATACAATTTGGAACAAGAGCGCACTTAACCCAAGGAAACATCAAACCAAAATGAATGGAATTTAAGTTATATAACACAATGTGATTTGGCTGCACCATTCTGTGAAAAAAGTATTTCTCTTGTTTGGTGTTGAAATAATCAAACATACGTGGATGAGTTAAAGCTGATGTAGGCTGGTTGATGGTCCATGAAACAAGTCCATCTTTCTCAGCTTGACTCAAAATATTATGTATTTCTCCTGATGTAAATACATATTGCACATCCATCATAATTACAGCTCCAGCTTCATTTAAAACCTCCTAAAATTAATAAAAATTTCAAATTAATACAACTTCAGAAAAATTACTTTTCTTTATAAAAACACAATTAAGATCCTAAATTTGGCATAAATTACAAAGTAATTTTAATTTTTTTTAAGCTACATCACACTCTGATTAATGAAATACAGAAAAAGCATCTTGTAAAACAAATATTTTGCTAAAGTATATTTTTTGGAAGGGTTGACATTAAAGATTGGGGAAAAATACCTTGTTACTACTAATGATTTATGAATGCTGAACTTCTGACTGATTTAGAAAAAAAGACAGTTGATTTTAGTATACATTCAAAAATCAGCTATAATTAGCTGCTAACACCCCCTCCCCCAGTAGATAATACAGAAGAAATTATTACATATGAAGCTCTTGATCACCAACGCAAACCTTCGGATAAAATTAAGCAACATTTTCAAATTTCTGAAAGGTACATAACAGCACTGTATCACCAAATATAAAATTAGAAATATTTTCAAATTTCAGAAAGGTAAAAACATCACTGTATCACCAAATAGTTATTTTTAAGGAATTTATAAATATCCATTTACATCAATTTTGCAACTACTTTTTTTAGCATGTTCCTTAGCAAGCAGACCAGTCTGCCCTTTGTGTGTGCGTATTACTCACATACTGGCAAATATCCTAATTGATGTAAATAATTCTACAATTCATCAAAACCATGCTTCTCAATTTTTCATACATTTATATAAAGCAAACTGCTGCCACAATTGATCTGCATTTAGTATGCACGTAATTGCAGCATTTTACAATTATCTAATACCTTATTCAATTCAGTAAATGCAGCTACTGTAAATAATGTTGTCGTCCAGCCAGTTAGTGATGCTGACTGTTGTACCGATAGGCACAGGTTCAAATTTTAAGACAGAAATTTAGAAGAAAAATTGTGTCTTTAAGCTTTTTCCATTCAGTTGTTTTTTTCTTGATAATATTCATACTCCATTGTGTAATTTCTAAAATATAACTTGCTAAAACAGAAATAATTATATCCTTTAGCAAATGATATGCTCTCTGGTATATCAGGTGTTCTCATTTAAGACTGATAAATATAGAATCAAAAGTCTTTCCCACAAACAGATTTTTTTCCAACAAGCTGTGGCGGTCCCGCAATTCTGCAGCATGTGCAAGATACTCTGGATGTTCCCGTGTTGACCAGAACCATTTCCCGCCAATTGGTTGAACGTGGCCTGCACTTACGACGTCCGTTAAGAAGACTGCTATTGACCCCACAGCACAGACGCCAACGTTTAGAATGGTGCCGGACTGGAGAGATGTGGATGACAGAATGGCGAAACATCGTGTTCTCAGATGAGTAACACATCTGTTTATACAGTGACAGTCGCCGCATACGTGTGTGGCGTCGTAGTGGAGACAGACATCTAATACGGCAGTAACTGTCGAATGCCCAAACACGCGACAACGTGGCATAATGGTTTGGGGTGCTATTGCCTACGATTCCAGGTCACCTCTAGTTCGTATTCAGGGCACTATGACGGCCCAAAGATACTTGGATAATGTAGTGTGGCCAGTGGCAATCCCCTACCTTCAGGGGCTGTCTAATGCAATTTTTCAGCAGGGTAACGCCCGACCACAGTGCTCGTGTCTGCCAACATGCTCTGCAAGGTATACAGATGCTTCTCTGGCCACCGTACTCTCCTGACCTGTCACCAATCGAACATGTGTGCGATGTGATTGGATGCCATTTGCAGACTCTGCGCCTGCCTCTTCAGAAGACGAACTGTGGGAAATGGTTGAACGGGAATAGAAAGCCATCCCTCAGGACACCATCTGCACTCTTATTGACTCTAAGCCTAGACGCATTTCTTCGTGCATCGCTGTCTGCGGTGATCCTACATCTTACTGAGCCGACGCCGTTCTCGCTCTGTATTCTGACTATCATTTTGAAATAAAGATCACTTATTGTTGCTTGCTGTTTCTGTCATTTTTCCAAATTTCATCACTTTCTGACCACTCCTTCTTAGTGTTTCATTTTCAACGTCGAGCAGTTTACGTGACAAAAAAATAGTACTTGAGCTAGCTTCTTCCAGGAAGCAAGAAGGAAATAAGGAAAATTAAATTCTTATCAATGTGTAATTGACATAACATTTAGGAACTAGGCAGACACTGCACTAAATAATTTAAGAATTACTTCAATTATGGAATGTCTCATAGATAATTGATGATATTTTCCCACAGACAAAGAAACAAGATTTTTTATTTTTTTATTGCTTTCGTCATCTTCCAAATGGCATGTGGGTGAAGCATTATTTGCTTGCATGCTCACGAAAAAAAGGATGCTGTGATGCTCACTATTGTTACAACCAGGTCAAGTCTGCTTCTATTGTGAGATACAAGTACAGAGACTGAAAAGGCAATTAAAAATTTTTCTAATCGTGAACTGTCTCAAAATCCCACAAATCATACCTAATAGAGGAAAGATTTGTCTGTCAAAGTTCAAAACTTGTTAATAATTGATCAAGTAACACAAGATCAAATTCAGGCTGAGGAAACGGGATTGTTCTCTGTCATTATGACTCCACTAAAAAGAAATCTTTAAAGGACGATCAAAGAAAAGCTACAAAATCCAGTCAAAGTAAACTTCTAAGACTAAGTTGAATAAATGGTTGAATATAATGTTTGGTGAATGAACATGTTCAATGAGTAGTGAAACCTGGAAGACTGGCTACATACCTTAGCAAGAACATTCAAAATAAAATAATTAGAGTGATACCAAATGAAAATAACAGTTATGAAAAATTGCACAATGTTATCAAAAGAATTTCAGAAAAAATTATTTTCCAACAGTCTTTAATTAGTTAAATTACTTTTAACAGCATTTTCCGCACAGCAGACGCACCACTAAGAACCTGAGCTATCATTTTAAGAGGGGCAGATGTACATTCTAAAGCAGAAACCATTTACAAATATATATATATATATTTTTTTTTTCCAATTTTATGAAATTGAAGATACTATACATATAGGAAAAGTTTCACTGAATTATTGCTTTATACACTTATTATATAACTTCAGGATATCTCTTGAAAACTGCCATAGATAATTCTATTATAACTGAAACAGCATGAAAGGTTAAAATGAAATGGGACACAAGCATGTGTTTTTTCCGGTAAACTCACAAGCTCACTACATTTTTGTTCAGCTCAATTCATTAACTGAATTGTTAGTCATGAAGTTAAACCTTTAATTGCATTACATTTTTTGGTGTAATGCTTAACAATACAATATGCTTTCTTGTTGTTGCTTTTCCTCTGGATTCTGACGAAGTCAGACAAGGTCCAAAAGAGAATCCTTGACTCTAAGAAACTCAAGCAGAAGGGGTAGATTGATATAAATATCCTCCCTAGAGAGGTCCAAACAATCCAAAATTTGTTTGGCAGAAGCCTGATGATCTTGGGATTTGGTGCACGTGGAAAAGATTTTCATGCCCTCCTTGAAAAAGAGGAACTTAATGTTTTCACTCGCAATACATAAGAGCGCAGTCTGAGAGCTCCTGTCACACTCAACGTTTAAAGACCAACCAGGATACCTATCCTAAGCCACAAGAGTCATCTTCAGTTTGTTGGCTGCCAGATGTTGCTAGTAATGTAAACCAGCTTTAGTCAACATTGCATGTGCTACGAGTATGGAATTGGTTGAAAATGCAGGGAGAATGGTTGCTACGTCATCAATCAGGTTTGTGCAGTTGGTTGTAGAAGTTCTTCATGGCTCTGTATTATATTGTGTTTTCGGCACTAATTTTTCATATTTAAATAAGGAATATAGTCGCAAATCTCTAAATCGTTACTGAATTTATCGAAAGCATGACAATGTATTTGAACTTCCTGAAAATGTCTGCATACTTTAGACTGACAAATTTACTGTCATAATAATATGCGCTGAGCTGAGAGTATTTGGAGTCACAATCAGAAAATAGGAATGTAGTGAATATATATATAAGATATGAAAAAGTGATAGCTGCTTTAAAAATAATTGGTGACCTCAAAATTAACGATTTAACAATTTCCACCTAAATTCATCTGCTCTCCCAGATTAGATATCTTTCTATGTAACAGTACATGAAAAGGGCAACTAATACTAATATTAACCAATCATAGCTTGTCTCTAGAATCACACCTACTTCGGTATAAATACCTTCGGGAAGCTAATTATGTCATTCTTCTGCTAGCTTCTACATTGCCAATATCTCCCCGCTTCACTTCTTTAAATTGCCCGAGTCATTCTTGTTAAAACCCAATGTACATAGAAATTTATCATATTTCATTTTCATTAAATCATAGAAATATACTGGATTTCATTGTGATCGGCTAAATATCTACTGACGATTTAAAATTCATGGAAATAAAAATTATAAATGTATGAACTTAGTTTGGTGTTAACTTCTTCCTCGCAGCCCTACCTCGGCCATCGCGACTGTGCTTCGAAATTATGACACACACACACATATATACGTTGTAGGATTCAAAAGTTCCCAGACTTTTGCAGTAGTACGACTACGAGAACATTTTTGTGTTACTATGCTCTCCCCCTTTTCTAAAAGTGGTTTGTTTCAAATCACGTGGTCGAAAGTTCACAGCGACAGCGTTTTTTTGCAGGCAGGTGCATTCAGTAACCGGCAATAGAAAGAAATGGCATCAGTTCAGCAGAGAATCAATATCAAATTTTCGCTAGGAGACTTTTGAAATGTTGAAGCACGTGTACGGAAGTGAAACGTTATCAAGAACACAAGCTTTAGAGTGGCATCGTCATTTCAGAGAAGGCAGGGAAAGTGCCGAAGACGACGAACACTGTGGCTGTCTCTTCTGACTGATTTAGACTGACTTTGAACACCGAAAAAAGCAAACAATTGCCAAATAGCAGAATCAGTTGGGATATCAGAGGCTCCATGTCAGCGGATACTGACTAAGGACCTTAACATGCATAGGGTGTGTCAACACATCGTTCCCCGC